AAACGATTCCTCACTTTCTCGTACACACCCCATGCCCCCCCCCCCCCCCCCCCCCTTCAACGCCACGCGTGTCGAAATAATCACCCTCCCAACGCCCTCACTCCCCTTCCAACACTCCCCGTCTCAAAAACCTCAACGACGCCCAGTCCAACCGCCTGCCCCAGAACCCACTCCCACTCGACGCCCCAAAAGTCCTTCCACCGCGTCCCGTAAAGACCTCCTCCTTCAAACCGCTCTCGGAACCAGGCCTCCGGCGCCTCCCCCCATCTTGTCTTGTCCAACAGCTCGCGAAGCCAATCCACTGCCCCCTCCGCGAGTTTGAGATACCGCCCGTGTCCCGGCACCGCAATCCGGAAGTCGGACGCTTCTGACGAAGCCAGCGATGAACCCGTCAAGGTCGGCGCGCCGCCGCTGCCGCCCGCAAGATGAAGCGCATTCTGGCCTCCCACCGCCGAAACGCTCCCAGAGGCAAAGCGAGACACGTGATGGATAGACGTCAAGGTCGTGCGATCCTCGGGACGGACATGAAGCGTCGTCCCCGGCGCGGCCTTTAGCGAGCTCGTCAAGAATCCCGCCCTCACCAGCTCGTCCGTCTGTGCATGCGTCACGGCGCCCCTAGGAAGCGTCTGGGCCGTAGGATTCTTCTTCAGAAACTCGAGAAACTGCTCTTTGGCCCCTTCAGACATTCCCGTCTTGCGCACCATGGCCTCCAGATCCGACGTCTCGATCAGCGCCTCGCCCATGCCGCCTCGCCGCTCGACCCTCACCTTGCGCAGCACGCCGCTTCGAGAGAGCTCGACCACTTCGCGCTCCACCTTCGACGGCGAAGTCAGAATCGCATTCAGATGGCCCAGCGTGACGATGGGCGGCACCGTCAGCCTGTAGTTGAGAATCTCGGCCGACCGCGTAGACCTGAACCCCGTAGGCGGAACAGGCGTAAACATGCCGTTTCGAACATATCGCATCGCCTGAACCACGTCTCTCAGCGTCAGCTCCTCCTGGAGCAACTTGACGACTCCCATGTCCGAGAGCTTGTCCTGAAACTCTGCATCCAGGTCATTTTTCGCCGCCGGCCTCTTGGCCTTCCGGGGAGACTGGGACGAAGCCTTTGCGCTGCTTGTAGAGCTTTGTCTGGCCGGGCTTGGCCTGCTAGGCTTCCTCACCCGGTTGGATTTGCCTAGGATGGAGCGTAGAGTTTGTGGCATTTTTTCAGCTTTCTTTTTCTTCGACTTGACGTGTCGGATTCTTTTCTTCTGACTTATTCAGACCGACGCGACGAATTTGAAACTCCAGTCTCCGGTGACTCCTGTTGCCTAGTGTATGATCATTCTATCATATCAGGCACACATCCAAAGCAACGTGGCGAGTTTGCAGTTGCAGACGAATGAGGAATCATCTGAAAAGGTTTGACTCAAAATGCCCATAAGTTCCCAGAACGTAGAGAGCAAGTCATGAATAGGAATGAAGAGAATTTGTACTCCGTCGTCTTATGAGTAATGAGCGAGATTTAGATTCTGTGGCAAATCTGAACTGCTACCCTGAAAATCATTTCATTGGGCTTACTAAACTTAGATCGAGAGCAGCCTCACTACGCGTATTAGTCGCAAATAGGCAATTTGAAGCCAACAAATTATCTTTCACTTAGATTTCGCTATAAATTTCAGTTTCGCTAAATCAACAGTTCGGCAACGCAATTTGACCACTTAACCACTCATGCCCGTTCTCTCCCTCCATCAATGCAAATTCGGCACCACTCCAACAATTAGCCAGCTGTAGTCAAAATATACGACGTGATTGCGCTCATCCGCTCGCTCGTCAACTTGAGCGAAATCTTCAAAAACTCCCTTGCAATCTCTGGATCCTTTTGCTGAAGCCTCTTCCAAGACTTTTGCCCCATCATCCAGACAGTGCAATCCCTCTCGACTTGCGCCGTCGCTGTCCGGCTCATTTCAGAGAAAAAGGGCAGTTCACCCAAAGTAGTTCCCGCGACGATGCTCTCGCAAAACCAGCCTTGCGGCAAGTCATATTCCGCTCGGATGATGCCACGCTCAAGGAGGTAGAAGCCGTCTGCCGGCTGGCCACGCTTAAATAGAACTGTGCCAGCGGGATATTCTTTACGCTCAAAATACGGGGTTGCTTGGAACCAGAAATCCTCATTCTTGTCGCTCAATCCCTGGAAAATCTGCAACATGAGCCGCAGAGGTTCATTAAAGCTCTGCCATCTGGACCGGCGTTGGATCTCCACACTGTTGAGTGCGTCATGGGCTGCTTCAGCAAGGTGATTGCGGCGTGGAGAGTTGAACGGAGCATCAAAGGAAGCCAGCGTCGCCGAAGTTGTTGGAACATCTAGGTTGGCGGTAGTATGCTTTGTCGAATTTATTTCTTCTTGTCGGGCATAAAGCGTTTTCAGCAGCTCGTTCTCGCAACTTTCCAGAGCCGAGTTCAAGTCTGGCAGCAGCATAACTTCGATATTCCCGCTGCCTAGACCCACAGCCCTTATGCTTCGACCAAGTTCGCTGTCGGCATCTATGCCACTCAAAATGAGGCTAACTCCTTTGTTGTCCAATAGCCGACTGATCGTGTTGAAGGCTTCTCCGGCAGAGTAGTCGAGCCCACTAACGTGCCACATGTCGAGAATAAGGAACTTGATCGGCTTCTGGGCAAACGCATGGTCGTCTAGAAGCGCTCGTATCTTAGCCTCCACGCTGACGACGGTTCCAAAGAATAGATATCCGGTGAGCTTCATGATATAGATTTGCCGGCCGACTTGTTGCAAGTAGTTGTCCTGTGACGGGTTGCGTCTGACGGTAGAGGTCACAACTTCACCATCATAGGAAGCTCGGATGGCCGATACTCTTGACGTCTGGATGACGAGTGATACAAACGCCAGCAATATTCCAACGCCAATGCCAACTACAAAGTCATAGATGCCCATAACTAGGACGATGATGATGACGGTGGCATATTCTGCAGGCCTAAGCTTCTTTCGTGGAAGCCAAACAGCCTCAAGAAGTAGCTCGAATCCAAGGTCAAAAATGAGCGTTCCGACCATCATGACGGGGATCCATCCAATGATACTAGGGCCAATGACCATAACTCCGAACGTTAGAATCGCAAGCATGTAGCCAGCAAGCCGCTTGTTGCCTCCGGACCGCAAGAAGAAGACAGTATTGGCGTAGACCAGATAGTTTTGAATGCTACCTATGCACCCTGAAACGAAGTTGGAGTATCCATGAAGCCTTAACTCCTTGTCTAGATCGGCATTGTCTTCTCCAGAGTTGAGTGCCAGCGCGGGGACATTGATGGGGACGTGAAGAATGCCAAAGAAAGTTAGAGCAAACATGGCCGGGACCACTTGAATGATTGCACCCCAGTTTACTAGTCGAAATTCTGTCAAAGTCGTTAATATTGCTATGCGATGAGAATGAGGCGGAGAAAATACTCACGATACAAGGTGTAAAAGTACCACCAAGGTTCGTCCGGAGGAGGGCCAACGAAAATCCATCCGTGATCTCGGAGCGTGCTCGGGTCTAAGCTATCGAGAGAGAAGACGAATAGGTAAAAGACTAGTGGAATGGCCAAGATGAAGAGGGGGAGGAAGTACTTGGATGCGCCCTTCATCTGGCCATAGAATAGAATAATGGCCAAAACAAGAGGACACACCCAAAGAGGAATTGTCTTGGCATCAATGAGCTTCTGCAGTGTATCGAGGTTATACTCGAGGCTGCCTTCCAGCCGGGCGGAAACCTCAAAGCCGGTAGCTATCAAGAACCAACCAACACCCCCAATACATCCTATCAGGATATGCCTGGGGATAAATCCGACCATGAAGCCAAACTTGAATCGGCCCATAAGGTAGAACACCAGGCCAGTTAGCATGGAGCTCAAGGCATAGGCGACGATCGTTGTGGCGATGACCGCATCGGGATTGTCTTCGCCAACAATATCCAAAATCTTGGCTGCCATATTGTGGAAGAAAGGAACGACCTCAATCTGGACCAGGATTAGACGAAACGGCTAGACACTTAGTTTTAGGACATCTGTACGTACAAGTTCAGATCCTACGGCTCCTCTGAATATGCTGCCCGTGGAAAAGACTAGCTGTGCTACGATTGTGCTGACATAGTATATAGAAATACCAGCAGACCCCAAATGAGAGAACAAAGGAGTTCCTAGTGGAAACAAGATCATGCCTAGTCTGATCAGCCAAGTTTTTTCGGTGATAGTACAGGAAGTGCTTACCATATGATAGCGCGTCTAAGATGTTTAGAAGTAAACCGACGGCAACGGCTGGAAGACAGGAAACTGGCTCTACCACAATAGTCTCCCATATGGCTCTTCGATTCCAACTACGTGGACTGGATGCTACCTTTGCGATTCGGCCGAGATGATGCTCCATCTTCTGACGTTGCTCGGCGAGTCCACGCAGCCACCTTTGTCGAGCTTGAGTCTTTTGGCCTTCGATATCGAGATCGACGCTGCTACTGGCACCTGATCCAGATCCGTGCCTGCCGAGAAGAGGGGTATCCTCTGATGCATCTGATACTTCCGGTTCGCCCGTCTGTGACTGATGCCGTGTCTCATCGACGTGCGAGGACTGGGATTGTCCAGCGTCGACATTGTCGAGTCGAGGTTGCGGGATACTTGTCTGCTCCGTCAACGACGATGGAGGAGATGATTTCTTGAGTAGATTGGCGAGCGCAGATGGCCCTTCTTCTCTCACTGCGTGTTCTCCATCCTCTCCATTTTCTGGTGACGGCGGTTCAGATACTTCGGGTATTGTCGCTGACGAAGGGCGTATGCTCATGCCTCCCTCAATGGAATCGGCATCTCCAAGCTCTGGGCCGAATACATCTTGAATCGACGGTCTGTTTCTCTGGAGGAAGCTCGCGCGACGCTGTGTTGAGCCATCGGACAGCAAATAGCTTGCCAGCTCGGCGGTATCTTCGCGTACACTCCTCGCATTCTGCGCGCTGTCCACCGGAACTACTCCTACAGTTAGCGGAACATGGCGTCTGGTCAGTATGGCACGAAGCGTTACCTAATTGATCTCGCATTGAAGCATGAATGAAGGAGCGAATGGGTTCTTTATATCCTTGCGAAGATCCAACAGAGGAAGAGAGCTGCTGGTGTTGCAAGGTCCCAGCTTCCAGCGTCGAGCTCCCAGCGTGACTCGCCGCGTCTGTGCGATCATTGTGCGACTGATCCATCTGTGAAACCGAGCTCGAAGCTCTCTTCCGCCACGGCGAGAATCCTAAGACAGAGGACGACATGTTTGAGCATCCAATGGTGGAGCTCTGCCGACGAGCTGATCGGCAATGCTTCAATCACGAGCCGACATGAGCATATGGGATCGGGATCGGTATCAGAGAGACCTGGCGCGGGATGGGCGGCGATTGAGGATGATCAGAGGCCCAGGCTATGTGCGGAGCATGCAAACGAACTGGAGGAGAAAGAAGGAAAAGGGTGGCGCAAGCAAGGAGAAAAGACATGCGGAAGAGAGTTGAGCATCATCAAGAGATAACGGCTATCAGGGATTGAAGCTTTGCTAAATCAAGAAATTTCCGGGGCGGTGGCGCCGAGGCCGGGCCGTGCAAATTGAAGCTGGACCTTATCGCAACGAGATTGTGCCCGGTGCCATATCTTTCAATTGCATTACGATTCCTAATTGCAATTGCTTACACGCAGCCGGCTCTACGACGGTAGTGCTGGCAGACTTGCGTGCTCCGGTGCCTTTGTTTCGCAGTACAAGTACGTTGCAGTGAGATCGATGTGCGCTCGGCTTGTAAATGGACACACCTCATCCTTCAGGCCTAGCCTCGCCCACCACCCAATGACAATGAATTCGCGAGATAAATGCCCACTCCCTCTCTGCATGTCTTCTGCAGCTTTATTAGACTGCATTAGTGGGTGGAATCGAGAACAATCGACGTTGCACTCTGTGCGTTTCACTGATCTAACGCAATTCCTCCCCCAAGAGTCACGAGTGCGCGATATCCTCGGCCGGGGACAACATATCACTCTGACCAGACAAGGGCCTTTTGGCTATATACTGCTCACGCTTTCCAGCTTCAGCATTGGAGAGGCCTCCCGCTATCAATAATGTCACATTGGTTCTTCAGACCATCTGATTTGTGCTGCCGTGGATGAAAAGAAAAGTGAAAAAGGAAAAAGGAAAGTTGAAACTATAGCCATGATGTAATGT